TTACGTTCTATAACCTTACATTCTGGGATATTTTCAGGTGTGTGAGACCCCGGCCTGCCTCAAGACGTCATCCAGCATTCTTTCACGTATGAATACAAGTGTCAACCCTTGTGAGGTGAGTCCATGTTTCCCTTTGTTTTTGTTTTTCTCTTCCTTTAAGTTTTCTATTTAAAATTCATTCCCCTTTTGGTTCTAGCAGGAATATTTTACTTTCCATCCTCTATTTTAAAAAAGCCCTCCTAGCGCGCCCTGCTTCTTGCTGATCATTAAATTGTAATATTAAGAGATGTGGTCTTCTACCCTACCTACCACGTTGAACAGATTCTCAAACTGTGGGACGATACACCACAGCAGAAGGTACAGTGATTTTTTATTGCTTTTTAAAACAAAGTCCGCCCCCTAAAGGATCTAAATTGCGTCGATGGGGGCGTAAAATGCCGAGATTTATTTCAGCATTTTATTTTATAACCAGGTGAAGAGCGATGTTACACAACATATGACGCTTTCTCTCATGTTCTGTTTTTGTCGTCCCTTCTTTCTTTCTCGATACTTCTAACCAATTATTGTCTTGGTAAATTGTAATGAGTACTTTAGTTTAATGGTTTTTGTGTGTGTGTTTGTTATCTATAGACAGTTCCTGAATTTAGACCCCCCCCCCCAAAAAAAAAAAAAAAAAAAAAAAACACACACACACACACACAAAAGATGGTAAACACGTGCTGAAACCCAATTTAACCTAGATTAGGAGAGCCTGGTTTTTTGTTCATTTCTCCAGGACTTCCTTCTCGAAAGACCTTTCTGAAAGAGGCTTAAACTCATTTAAAATGGATATAGGAAACAACGTACATGTTTTCTAAAATAGAATTGTTTTTAACTGTAAAACAGAACATGCGTGCAAAATGAAATGTCACTGACCTCAGAGTTTGTTATTTGTTCTATATTCTAGAAAAAAAAAGTGTTCTTTGAATCCCAATCCTCGAGGATTTTTAACTATCATGGAAATGCAAATGCAATTTCTTTGACAGGAATCAATGTTCTTTACGAAACAGTGTTTCTAGATTTGCATCATCGGAAGAATTACGTCTTAAAACCCTGATTCTCTCAAACAACATTGTCGAGTTCCTGAATCTTTATCAGGTTTTCATCTTTTTGCGTATTTTTTTTCAGACTATTTAAACATGGTGGGTTTCAGGTCAGAGATAAAAGCTAAGTTGTGTTCTCGCTGGGCCTAAGCATTGGCTAGGTTGAGCCCTCACGCCCAGGCGGCATCTATCTTGAATGGGGAGACGGAACGAGGGACGAGGAAGGACGAGAGAGGCCCGATCTAGAGAGGCTTTCATCAGACTTCGGTGTCTGAGACCTTTAGGTCAAGTCCAGAAAGTGATACCCTTAACCCTTTTCAGTCGAAAGTAAGGATTGGCTTAGTAGTTAATTTATTTACTTGATGAGGGAGGAGCGGTTTCCGATGAAAAACGAGCGCGGAGGGTGGCAAACATGATAGTGGAGTCGAGAAAGTCAGAAACTTAGAAAATTGGTTGGGGGGGGGGGAGCAGGGGAGTGTTTAGTGAGGAATTTAATAATGGGTACTGTATATTATATAAACACACACACTCACACACACACACACACACACACACACACACACACACACACACACACACACACACACACACACACAAAGAGAGAGAGAGACAGAGATTGAGAGAGGAAGAAAGAGAGAGAGAGAGAGAGAAAGAGAGAGAGAATGGATATTGATTATGACAGATAGATAGATGGAACGAGAGAGAGAGAGAAGGAGAGAGAGAGAGAGAAAGAGAAGAGGAAGGATACTTGGATTTAAACAAGAAGCTGGCTAACTGAGTGAGTGAGTGTGCGTGTGCCTGTGTGTGTGTGTATGTGTGTGTGTGTGTGTGTGTGTGTGTGTGTGTGTGTGTGTGTGTGTGTGTGTGTGTGTGCTTGTGTGCGCGTTTGTGTGTGAGAGAGAGAAAAAAAAAAAAGAGAGAGAGAGAGAGAGAGAGAGAGAGAGAGAGTTTGATAGAGAAAGAGAGAAAGGGAGGAGAGATGACCGTGTAGACTAAACCATTTGGTTTCGTGGCAACTCCACACGCACTGTATTTACTGTCTGTATACATGTATAGCACCTAAGTACTAAGTCTGTGTAGCAAAGTATGGTGAGTCCTTCTGGGCAGCGTTGCATTTTTCAATTGATTAAATTTTATGTTTTTCTAATATTAACTTGGGTTTTACATACTGAAGTGTGTTCGATAGCGCCTCAAAACGCATACGAAAATGAATTACACAAATGGAGATGTATCTAAAGGGGTTAAAGAAATACATTTTAGATTGTTTGATGAAGCAGCCTATAACGATGCCTGTGACGTTTCTGTCTATTTGCTTCATCCGTCTCAGATAAGGGGATAGCTGAATCGTCACGACCAGGGGTCGTTCATGACGGTCCTCATCATACACACAATGAAGGGTCACTTCCGCCTTGCACTTGCCCTTCGATCGACGTGGTCATAATCTGTCATCTTTTGAATCGATAGCACTTAATGGCTGGCACGAAATGAGGTAGTTAATTTTACATAGGTTTCAAAATTCCCCATTAAGATACACCCGAGAAGACATAAATTGACGCTCGCTTAGGAGCATTTTTTTTCCAGTTTACTTTGCGAATGGCAGTCAGAAGTATGATTAAGGTCACTGGGCCTAAAATAAATTCGGAAAAATCACAACTAAATACTTACCAGAAGGTTTCTCTCTTTTTTTTTCGCCGTTCAGACATTGAAAGGAATATATGGTTGTATTGTTGGGGGTGAAAACGGGGCAGAAGGAGGGAGAGGGATGTTCAAACTGATCAAATCAGCGTTCTCGAAAGTGAGGTCTTAATTAAGCTTTGATGGGTTTGGTTGTTTGTTGTTGTTTTTTTGTTTTTTTCAAGGGTCAGCAAATGTTTAGAGAAATCCTACTTTTGATTTTGCCTTGACTACATTACACACAATAATTTTGTGGTGCATTTGATGGCTTCCACATCATCAGATAGAATCATCATTCAAAACGTTTTACCTCTACATTTTGTATGGCAAGGTAACGTAATAATTTCATTGCCACCAGCACAGTTCTTTAAGCATAACAAAGCTAGTTCCTCGTAAACTTAGATGACTATTTTTTTCTTTCAGAATGAAACATTAAATTTATTCCCTAATCTGAATCAATTGTTTTCGAAGGTGCAGGTTATCAAATATTTATACTTTATTCCAGTAATGAGAGGTTTGTATTTATTAAAGTGTTCCCCGATAATCACAAAAACTTCCCCCTTTTCACGGATGTTTAGACGTCAATACATGCTTTGCTTTATCCAAAACTAGTTCTCTGTCAAGTTATCTCATGGTTAACATAGAAAGTATCAGCAGACGTCCTTACCATTGTACCATTGTTTATTTTTAATAAATAATGGGAAATATAATACCATGGCTTTGTGTATGTCTCTCTTAAAAAACGTGTTTATCTTGTCTACACAAACGTTAAAGGAACCGCCTCATAACACATTGGTTATGTTGGGACGCTTAAGCATGACGACTGTTACTTTTCTCTTTACGTAATATCTGCAAAGTCTCACTTCAGGATTATCTTCTTGGTCAGTCGTTTCGCTGTTGCATGTGCCTACGTCGTGTTTAGCAACATTTTAGACTCGATGATCTGAAGGATTTCTTTGATGCCGTCATGTTATACTCGAAGATAATCCTATAGTATAAACATGTACGCCATTTGATTGCGTCTATTGCCCCTTCTTTCTTTCTCCTTTATTTCCTTTCCCTTTCGGTTTTGGTTTCTCCATTTGCTTCTGTAGGAGAGTAAATCAATCGTAAATGTAAATAAAAAATGGAACATGTTATAAATCTCTATCCAGTTTTAATTATTTCAATAACCATAAACCTCTACGTGTAACTTATCGCTTTGTCCACATACCGGCTTCCAATCACAGTGCCTGACAGGAGGCGTCACATGCGGTTGAAGTCAGAACTTCCAGGGCTGGTGGGGCACCTAGAAATCGTATTTTGGGGTCAAATTATGTAAATTGGGGTTATTACATTTTATAGTACCTGAACATTTCCTGAACAATATCCAGAAACGTATGTAAGCCTTGCTAAACCCTAAAGCGGTGTTTTTCCCTTGTATTTCTGCGAAAGCACATGCCTTCCAGACTTTTTTTTACCTTTATCGGCTGTTTTCTCACAATTCTATTTTTTCACACATTATCCCATTTTTTCTGCTTTATTTCTTTTTCAATTTCAATGTAACTTTCACAGGATACCAACGACACATAGATCTAAATTTTGGCTTCTTGAATTTTTGATTAACGGATTAGTTTTTCATTTATGGGGTTAGAAAGCATGACTTTTTTCACTTTTTTTGCAACAACCCAATTGTAAGTGTCATAAAATAAAAACTAAAGTATATATCAAAAATTCAAAAATCAAATTTAACAGCTACGTATTTACTGTTGGCATGCCAAATAAGAAGTGAATCAATTATAAAATAAGGGAATAAAAGGAGATTGAAAAAGGTATAGAAAATCCAATATGGCCGTTGTTTCCATAGTAACCGATTCACAATATACTTTTTGAACTATTGATTTCTAATCCCCAATAACACCCGATGTCCCACAGCAAATATGGACACTCTAGGCCTTGTAATAGTCAAAATAGACCTCAGGTGCCCCACGAGCCCTTAAGGTCTCCTCACAAGTTCCCAATTCATCTTCTACATCCTTTCCCTCACTGACCCACAGTTCTAACAGTGTATAAAAAGTATTAATCATAAAATGAAAGCAAGTATTAGGTGTTCAAAGGGAAAAGCCACCTTATTGGTCAAAACCCATTCAACTTCTTAGACTACTTGTTACGATTGTATCGAAATAGACTGTACGTTTAACGCATTTTTAGTTGTTTTAACTATTTGTGAAGCACGAAAGCGAGCAGTACGCACAAGTCCTTATCTCTGCCGATACTAACAGATGAGACTTCTCTAGTGTGCAGACCTAAATTCGATATGGAGTTTGTAACATTTGATTGGACATTCTATTCGTATCCTATTTCTATGCACCTCGCCAGC